AATTTAAGAGGTTATGTTGAAAAATGATCGATATGCTATTAAACTTTAATAATTTAGTAATTAGGTCTGTTGGTAGACCCTGCACTATCTCCACTGGTATATGTTAATTTTGTAATATTTAAATCTGGTTGATGAAAAAGTACACACCAGTGCAGGTTATTGCAGCATCTACGAACAAATGAATTAATGGCCCATTGGCAATTATTCCTTTAGGAAAAATATTCAACACAGCTTAATTAATTAATAAAATGAAAAAAATCACAATCATGTCGTATATAGTTTTTTTTAAGCATAAAATAATTTTTATATTAATACTAGTTCAAAAGTGAAATTACGACCTCTATACTGTGGAGAGTATTGAAACGCTCGACTGACGAATACAACTCTATACCGTAGGGAGATTTAGAAATCGATATTCAAACGTGGCGTCATCCTATACACCTCTATAATTTTCCGTTTGCTGTGCAGTACAATGTTTATATAAACTTTTTAAATATTGGCGTTGAGAAACTATTTAATACTTTTGTATTTTTGTATTGAGATAATAAAATAATTTTCACATTTAGTATTATTTTACAAGAAAGGCAATTTATTTTAACGATTGTATGACATTTGACAACTGTCAACTAACTTAAAACTAACTTCAGCCTGTGACTAAAGCGCCATAAAGCCACAACTTGTCAATGTGTATTTAAAAGGTCACTTAGTGTCACGGAAACATGTGCGATAAAGGGCGTTTTAAAGGTGGGGGTAGAAAAATATATTTATTACACCTAATCAATAATATAGATTTTTATATGCGAATGGAACATATGTAAATTTTAAAACCCAAAGCAGAACAAACCACCATTGTATTTAAAAAAATACGCAAAACAAACTTGTCGCTTTGAGGTTATGTCCAGTTCAGTTTCTTAACACTTCACTTTAATATAGTAGCCGTTACGCGTCCACTCTTAATTTGTATATGTATTGAACTTATATAGGTTAATAATTTTAAATTGGTTGAGGCAACTAATATTCAAGGTATGGTATTTGATAAAGTACCTTTTAATTAAAAATAATTGGAAAATTGGTTACTAAAATTGTTAAACCTGCCAATGACGGCATTTATAATCTCCAGGATTTCCTTAAACTTGTTAAAATACCTTAGTGCATTGTGTTTTAAATTGTTTTCGGTCATAAAAGTTATTGAAAAATTAAAACGTTTAGTATGTGCAGTAAAAAAATTAGTATTCTATTAGAGTTATGAAATAAAATAAGTCTAATATATATTAAAAAGATTTCAAAATTTTATGAGTCATTAAAAGGAACTATATGTATCCGGCTAGGTACATTTTTAGACATTGTAGGATTAATTAATACAGGTTTTTTTCACCCGGATCTTATTTATTAGGAATCTGACTGAAAAAAGTAGATCTAAATTAGAAACATAAGTATTTTATTCTTGATTTAAAGATGTGTTCTTTGATTTAATGTTTGATTACGAAATTTAAATATTTTAAATTGACTTTGTTTCTTAATGGATTTAAAAAGGATTTTTCTGGTTTATATACAGAGAAATTATCAAGTTCATAAAATTATTGTATTACATAGGCCAAACTTAAAAAATGAGATTTTATAAAATCTCATTTTTTAAGTATACCGTTTTGATGTTTTCTCGTTGATTTAAGTATGTAGCCAGAAACATTTTGACCGCTAAATTGTTCAGCTATATTATGTGTTTTTAAAGACACTTAGGACACAAGGGACTTGCTATTAGTCGCGCCATATAGGCGACCCAATATGTCCGAACTCACGAAACACTCAAAACTTCTTTTATCAGAATCAATGAAAACGGGATTTTTTTAGTAGATTAATTTAAAAAAATATATATTATGGATTGTACATGAAAGGCAATAACATCTTTATATTCTTTATATCTATACTGATTAAAACTTGAAATTACTAATTCACACATCTAAAAACCATTAATTAAAAAGAAACAAAAGAAATCCTTAATTAAAATCACACCATCGATCGTGTGGATAAATTACAACATTATAATGTTTATTTTTGCAATTGGTTTTCCTTAATTAACTCATTGTAAGACCGCAAAAGATTTATCTTAGTTTCCTGAACCTCCTTATTTAATATTTTATCTTTGGTCTAATGACACTATTTGTATTAGAAAATTTATAATTTAATTTTAAACCCATTAAGTATTTTATCTACTCCTACATTGACGAGTTGTGACTTTATGGCATTTTAGTCACGGACTGAAGTTAATAACAGTGGCTTTTGGGAATTTTAGTCACGGGCTGAAGTTAGCTTTATTATAAATTGCGAAAAAGTGAGGTTAAATTTGTTAAATGTCAAATTTTATGAAATAAAATTGTCTTTAAATTCTTATTTCTGTTCGTCGTAGATAAAATATAGTATGCAACTCGTTTTATAAACTTCTCTAGACACTCGTTTTTATTAAACACTCGCTCGCAAGCTTCGCTCGTGCCTAATAAAACTCGTAACTAAAATGGCGTTTATAAAACTTGATACATAATATACTATTAATGCATTTTATATTTTAAATGATTATTGCTGGATAAAAGTCATTAAAATTGAACATTTTACTTTTTGGGTCTACACTTTTCATATAGTTTTACTTTTACTAGTGCATTTCCAAATAAAGCCATGGCTGAATATAGCCAAAAATACCAGGTTTTTTTAAATTTTTTATGTAAGTTATTTTTAATAATTTAGAATAAAATCTTACAAAAACATTATTATAATACACAATTTTGTTTAATACAGGGTGTCCAAAAAATTGAGGACCACCGGTATACCACGTTGCAGGGTAGTTATTATAAGTAAAAAAATTTTGACAAATAGTTTTCGGATTACAAGAGTTTAAAAATTGCATTTTTCTTTATTTAAATTTTTAAGAATATGTAAGCATACAGGGTGTCCCAAAAGTCAACGATATCCTTTGGAGGACTGATAGACCAACTGATGACTAAGCAGAAAATCAAAATATGACCTTAGTCGTTAGTTTTTGAGATATAGTCATTTTTATGAATTTTGTAAAACTTTTATAACCCTTAAAATGAAAAAAAAAAAGAAGTTATGATGATTTCAAATTTGGGTTTTTGACAAGAACTGTCAGAAAATATATTTTTCAACTTCGCTGTGGATACGCTGTATAATATACATATTATGTTGTTTTCATAACAACCGTTTTTATTTCTTAAATTGGCTTATAAAGTACACAGCTTTGCCAAGTTTTATAAACTTAACTACTAAATGTATCGACAAAAAATTTGGTATACTTAAAATATTGTCCCCGCATTTTTTTGACATGTGTGTCCGTTTTTGTAAGTTTAATGTCAGTTTTATTCTTAATCAATAAAAATAACATACATAAAAAAGGATAATATTAACTGCAAGTTTCGACCTGTTTCAGCCATTTTTTACCTTAAAAAATAAAAAGTTAGTGCAATTGGGGATACCTATATATAATATATATATATAATATATTTGTATAAACAAATAATGTTATTTATAAATAAAATGGTTGTTAGATTTTTGAAAATTACAGTTTTAAAAACAACAGGCTTAAACCTCTAAATAATTTTTTTGAAATCTGAAAAAAATGATGGCGAATGTTCTAGTAAAAATACACCATACACAATTTCACTTCAGATACCTATAGATGAGTAAAAGTGAGACATAACCTACCTCTTTGAGGTACCTTTATCAATTCTAATGAAATCTATATATTAAAAAATCCGAATATGTAGGTACTCACATAGCGTCAATTCCTGAAAGACATCCAAGTATAAGATGTCTTTTTTTTAGATATCTATTAGACATCTTAAAAAATATTGCTAAAAGATGTACTATAGATTTTTTAGACATGTCTTAATTCAAAATGGGATGATAATATATTAATATATTATATTAAATCGAGTGTATTAAAAGTACAAATACCCACGATACTACCCTGCTTAAGTCAAAAAGTATTAACAGTGTGTCCCACGGATGGACTTAACTATACTTGTAAAAATATTTATTTTAAATTTTTCGAGAAAAAGTCATTTTTCATAATTTCTTTTTTTAAACATTGTAGACATGTCAATTAAAATCAACAACCTTGATTCATAATCACAAAATGAGATAACAGTCAATTTCTAGGACCACTCACATGAAAAAACTTTATTTGGCTTTTTGGTTTCTCCTTACAAGCTCTACATATTAGACCTTAAAAAAATATTTAAGAATTTTTAATTTTGAAAAATCTACAATTGTATTTTTTTGCGCACCCTGTATAACAAAATATAAGCCCAAATACTATTTGGGTATCTTATTTCAGATATCTTAAAGAGCGCCTTCTCAAGATGTGTTTTAGATATCTTACAAAGATATTATCTGGGAGATCTTAAAAAAAACGTTTTTTTAAACTGTATAAATATATTATAAGTGGCGAACTTATATTAAAAAAAATTACCTAAACATCCTGTATCTTAAAAACGAATAAAGATTTCACATGGTATGTTAAGGATATCTTTTTACTTGTTTTAATGGTGGTCTATTATTTCTGACTCAACATGTAATATTTTGACCATTTTGATTTTTTAGCTAAAAACAATATTCCTTTTTATTTTATTTAAAAAAAATTTGTACGTGGTTTTCTTAGTTTGTAAACCTCATTTTTAATTTTGATTTTTTAGGTGTTATTAATTAAAAATTATAAATTATAAAAATTATATAATTATTTAATGAATTATATTTTTATAATCAATAATTTTTTAATACAAAACTGACTGTACAATTAATAATAAATATTTCTTATAAATTATTGTGGTAAAAACCATTTTTTTGCACTTCTGGGTGTAGTTTTTTACAAATCAATTTAATAAACCTTTATATTGCAATATTATTGAAGGCCACTAATTCCCAAATCAATTATAACATAATTAAATAATACCTAGTTGTTAAAAAAGTCTATTGCAAAATCTAATACTGACCTGTGTTAACCAAGGAAAGTAAGACAAATCCAATAACGGTTAGGCAGCACTGAAGATTCATTTTTTGTAATTAATTAATCTAATATATAAATAAAATAAGTCACTAAACTGAACATCACACCCACTCACAAAATAATCACATTTAATTGATAAACTACATTGGCATGGGGCACTTTTGTGTTAACACCGGACCATTTTGGAATTCGATTTCAAAGTACCGTTTTGAAATTTTCACGTCACCAAGTTCTGCGTGTGTGTGTATTTTCTCGACTGAAGATAGAATATACGTCAGCATTTGTAAAGAGAAAGTATGTATGAAACAGTGTTAAGTCCCCACCAAAATTTTTTGTACGTTCTTAATGGGATTTTAAAGAGTCGTTCCTAAGAAATATTGTTCAGTCATCGGCGGATGCATTCAAATATTTTATGTTATGTTTTCCTAATTATTTAAATCATATTTTTGCTAATAAATCATTTATCTTGGTTATTGAGTTATATTGGTTTAGCTGAAAAAAATGTATGTATACCTATTCTCCATTAAAATAACAACAAAAATCAAAAGATAGTAAAAATTTTAAAAAATACATATTTAGTTTATTTTTTGTAACCCCGTACCGAAGCCAAAGCAATACTTTTTTGAAATGAATTATTAAGGCATATTAAAATTTTAAAAGATAATACAGAAAAAATGCGTAAGCCAATTTTTTTGCAAAATTTACAATTTTTTCCTTTTAAAATGCTAGTGTGTAGTGTTTTATAGTTTCGGAAAACGAAAACAAATGAACCTCTCCCAAATAAAAATAAAGCATTTATGCATAAATAACATAAATAATGCTTCCTAATTAAAATGTGTCTATTTTTAAATTTCCCAAATTAATTCAATTTTTCCCTTACTGTAAAGATACCTCCGAAGGGTCATGTGACGAATTGACTCCCTACCCCCTAAAAATATATTTTCCGATAATTTTTTGTAATAATAATCTGACTAAAAATGGAAGAAACAAGCAATTTCAATCGGTTTACTTTGTCACGTGACGTTTAATACGGTAAAATAACAGTACAAATACTAAAAGTATAATACTACATAATAACTATGCAAGCAACCAAAAAAATGAAATACAAACAAATTAAAAAACACATCTACATAAAAATAACTTTAAAATTAATTCATGTCTGTTCTATCTTTCTAAACTTTAAAGATTTATATTTTCTTTGTCTCTTTAATTAATATGTTAAAACGGTATACCTAAAGAAGGTAACGTTAACCATAAAGTAAAATTAAAAAATATAACTTATATTGAGAAAACTTATTATATTTACTAAATACTAAATATTATTTAGCATTAAAACTCGAACGCATCTTATTTTAAAATAAAAAATATTTGCCCTATAAATATTTTAGTGTTTAAAATAATGAGTATGAGTATTAGTATAAGAACGTATGGCAGGCCCATCGGCCACGCCACACTGATCTACCAGGGTTATTTTACCCCCTTTCGGTTCTATACGTACCCCGCCACTGCACAGCGTTACCTGTGTTTGGTTGATCCGAATGTCACCCCGGCAGGTAATCTTCTCAGGTCATGGATGACAGTGTCGATGGTTAAGGCCATTCCCGGAATTTTGTCGCCGGGCCGACCATACGCCCGATATAGGCTAGTGGAGTGTAGGACAAGGAGGGAACAATAGTTGGTTTTGGGGGCCTTGAACTGACCCAAAACTAAGTACAATCCGGACTCCCCCTCAACCAGGGTATTAGTAATGACCCCATTCAATTGGGATTCATGAATGAGGCTTGGGTTATTAGTACGTTACTTGGGTCTCTGTCCGGGTCTGCTGGAATTCGGAATATGCTGTACGCAGTTGTTTGCCTTACTAGGGTGTTGTTTTTACTTTTCCCACTCTCTTAGAATCACTCAAAATGACTCGTTGTTGTTTTACCGAATGCAACAGTCATTATTGGGTTTGGTTTAAAGTTTTTTAGGATAGTTTTTATTTACTCACCTAAGCAATCCTGGTGACTTTTTGAGTAGTATAATAGCTTTTTATTGAAAACGACTATTCGATGTGTTTACGTTTTCTTTTCTTATTTAACAATTAATAAATTGCATTTATATTTGTTTTTACTGCTTCTACCATTTGTTTTTTTTATTTACTCGAGAAGGTCTCGCAGTTTGTTTATTTAAGGCAAAGATTAGAAATTGGTTTACTTACTCACATAATATTTATGTGTTTATTAAGTACTACTTGTCACGTCCTATACGACGAAGAGTTTTATAAGTCGAACTGCGGTATCTTTGCTATTTTTAAAGTATGGTTCGTTAACCCTGTATATTCTCTCTTGTTGATTTCTATGGATTTATCACTTGGAAAGGTATAAACACACCCGTAGGTTCGGTGAAGTCTTATTTACGCAATTAGCGACGTGCAAATATTAAAAAACTTATCTGAATATCGCTGATGGCTCCTTGTCCCCTTGTAATTGGTCTCTTCCTGGAAGAGTCTTCCAGGTTCCTGCCGCGATGAGCCTCCTGTTCGAGTTTTAAACTTTTAGATATTTAGGTTTTAAAATGCACTGATTAAGCACTGCATATTTATTTATAGTTCAGAGCGGAGAAACTAGCACGTCTCGCCCGTAGGAGCGATGTTTTTGTAATATTTTAGTGCTTAAAATAATTATACAGGGTGTTATGTAATTAATGTTATATATTAAAATACTGAATACCTTTTGACATAAGGAATAAAGGAAAAATATTTAAAAAAACATTTTTCCAAAGATAAAGAAAAAATATGCATTAGAAGTTTTTTATATTTTTTGTGATACGCCACTGGTTACACACTTGTTTATCTCTGCACACCTGTATTTTGTGAGTACATAGATACCAACCAACAAAGTAGCTATGCGTTGCCAGATGTAAAAAATTGTTACTAAAAATTTTTCTTGCAAAAAATAAATAAAAACTCAATAAATACAAAAGTTGTATGCCCTTAAAGCTCTAATACCCTTCTGTATTTATTTACTGATCCAGCTATTAGCTTAAGCAATGATTAGAAAATTTAGTACCTTTGAAATTTGAAATCCATAACCACAAAATTAATTTTTTCATCAGTTTTTTTCTCTGTTTACTCAGATGAAATTGGGACCAGTTCACAGGTTAAACTTTAAACATTTAATTTGTGTAAATAAATCCAAAAGCACTTCCCTTAGTTAAGATATTTACAATTTTAAAACATAACCTAAAATTTAAAAGTTGGCAGATTTTGTTTGAATTTACCTTCAGTACAAAAATGAAATAACCAACAATTAATAAAAACGCCAAATTGACAATTTGCATTGTTAATTTTGTCATTTTTGTAATTAAGCTAAATTTAAACAATGTTTGTCAACTTTTTTGAGAGATTTTGGAAACACTGTTGTTACCAACCATAACATAATAAATCCACCAGATTAACCTAAAGTTCCTAGTCGATCAGTGGCGTACTTTTTGGTAGGATAAAGGTTATTATAAATTATTTTTAGACTTTGGAATTTAGAAAAAAAAAGTTTCAGGTGCTTCTTTATGGACCCTAAGGAACAACCCATTTTAATATATAACATTAATTACATAACACCCTGTATACAAAATAAAAAAATCTAAAATACGTACTATGCTCCACACTTCAAAGTCCCACCACGTGACCAGGTACGGAACGCAGTCTTTTGAAAATTTGTCATTTAAGGCTTTTCAGGTTATGTATCTGTCAAAGTATAGTCAATGAAATAAATAATATTTATACTGTTACCGTTTATGTTTTTAAACGCTTAAAAGCGTTAAAAGTTTATAAATCTTTATAGTATCACAGTAACAATGGTTGGTTTAAGAGTTTAGGAGTATAAATACTGCATTTAATGAAATTCTAAAGTGTATAGTGCCAAATAAGTAAAATTTTTGTGCATTTGGTCTACATAATATGTTAATATATTATATCTAGTTTTATCCATAAAATAGTTTTAACTAAACGGCATTTATTAAAAAAATGTAGCTTCTCTATTATGGAATAAGAATATCTGTATCAAAGGTAGGTTAATATATTATAACAAAAAATATCATCTAATTTTAAAATTTTAAGGTTAGAAAAATCTATTTTGATCAGAATAAATAAGTATTTTGGATTATTTGAAAGAGTGTGTTAATATGGTCATATAAATATAGATATACTAAATAATTGTTGAATATGGTTCAAATTAAATTAAAGCTTTTATACTCCTAACAACAAAACTTGTGCATACCTCTCGAGATCCCTACTTTAAGTTAGATTATAAGGAAACAAACAATTTTATTCATTTTAAGGTGTTGTTTTGGATTCCTTTAAAATAAACCCCTATAATGTTGGTTTAATTGGAATAAAACACACTTTTAAAAATCTTGAAATATATTTAAGTTTTAAGTACTTTAAATAAATAAATATTTATGCCCAATGAAAACAAATTAGTTATCAACTACCTAAATGTAAGCTGTAATTAAATAACTTGCTCTTGGAAATAAACACCATGAGAGATCTCAAATATAAAACCATTAGGTAGGTACTGTAACTGTAAATTGTTTTTACAAGTGTTTTTGGAAATTCAATAGCTAACCTTCTTAAAGTTCCTTACACTGTCAGCTAATATACACATAGTGTCAATACAAGTACCTATAAAAGCTTAAAGTATACCTACATAAAGTTTTGTCAATACAATTAATTGTATTGACAAAACTTTATGTAGGTATACTTTAAGCTTTTATAGGTAATTACCTATAAAGCTTCAACTGAATTTTATCTTCATCGAAAAATCATTATAACTTTTAAAAATTTCAAAAATCACATATTATGGGAGTATTAAATATTTTTACATTGCATGTATCTCTAAAAATTGTTTGTTTCCTTATAATCTAACTTAAAGTAGGGATCCTGAGAGGTATGCACAAGTTTTGTTGTTAGGAGTATAAAAGCTTTAATATAATTTGAACCATATTCAACAATTATTTAGTATATCTATATTTATATGACCATATTAACACACTCTTCCAAATAATCCAAAATACTTATTTATTTTGATCAAAATAGATTTTTCTAACCTTAAAATTTCAAAATAAGATGATATTTTTTGTTATAATATATTCACCTACCTTTGATACAGATATTCTTATTCCATAATAGACAAGCTAAATTTTTTTAATAAATGCCGTTTAGTTAAAACTATTTAATGGATAAAACCAGATATATGTAAACCAAATGCACAAACATTTTACTTATTTGGCACTATACACTTTAGAATTTCATTAAATGCAGTATTTATAACCAACCATTGTTAC